CCCCCCGTTCCGCTAGCCTCTCATCTTTCCTTGGACATTTCATGCAATTTGTCTGCTCCTTCGTTGACTCAGCATTAGCTTACCAGGCTCTACTGTAAGAACATTTACCTACAGCCTGTGTTGTACTGTCTGGAATGCCGGGTCCTCAGTCTCGACTTGACAGCATCTTGTCACCCCTCAAGCCTATCTCGGATACAGACGTCTGGTCCTGTGAAGAGCCCCTTTGGGCCTCTCCTTACCTGTTCTCCCGAAGTACAGGGAAAATCTAATCTTCCTCTTCCGACCCGTCTTCCTTCACACCCCAGAATAGCATTTCAGTGCATTACCTTGGGTTAGCTTAATATTGGTATACTTCTTTTTCAGATTACACACTTTTTTCAAAAATTTTTATTAAATAGCCCTGGCTGGTTTGCTCAGTGGTTAGAGCATCAGCTGGAGGATTGAAGGGTCTTGAGTTCGATTGTGGCCAAGGGCACGTGCCTTGGTCGCAGGCTCAGTCCCAGCCCCGGTCAGGGCATGTGTGACGCAACCAATTGATGTTTCTCTCACATTGATGTTTCTTAAAAAAAACCCTTTTATTTAATATTTTATCTTTCCAAAAGAATAGATCTTATGTAGATATAAAAATAATAAAATGAGCACGCGCCCCCACCACCCAGGTGAAGAAACGGAGCATCGTCCAGAGTCCTCCGTGCCTGCCCTTTGTTTGCACCCCCTCCTTTCCCTGTGGCGTCACTGCTGCACTTTGTGGATTTTAAACAATACTTTGTTTCATATTACCTGTTTTGGGTTTTTAAATAGCATAAATGGGGTTCTATGGTATGTATTTTTCTATCCTGCTTTTTCTACTCAATATCGTTTTGATATTCATGTTGCTATATGTAGGTTCTACTAATTTATAAAATGAACTAGAGAGAGTCTCCTTTTCCTTCCTCTGGAAAAGTTTGTATAAGATTGGAATTATTTGTTCTTTGAATATTAAGAAGAATTCTCTGGTAAAACCTTCTAGGCCTGGCATTTTCATTGTGAGATGATTTTAGTGACTGGTTTAATTTCTTTGGTGTTTATAGAACCACTGTTTCCTCAGTTGTTCTCCTCAGTCTGGTGTGTTTGCTTTTAGGTTAGAGCCCTTTCTCAGGTTACATGGGTGATGTATTCTTTGAAGTTTTGCGTATTCAAAAGTATGTTTCTGGACTCTGTTAGTGAATGGTGCCCTAGCTAAGTAAGGACTCTTGAATTGCATTTCTTTTACTCCTGCAAATGTGATTCCAGTGATTTCTGGTTACAGTGCTGCATCTGAGAAAGCTCATGTCAGGCCAATTGTTTTCCTTTGTAGGTGAATTATTTTTTTTATCTGGAAGCCTGAAAGAATTTCTGTTTCTCTTTTTATTATTTTAGAAAACTGGTACTTTAATAGTATTTGCCTAGATGTGTATAGTGTCTTATCAGTCTAGCCTGGAAGTCAGCAAGCCTATTTAGATTACAGACTCTGTCTTTAGATCCAGTTAAATTTTCTTCTATTGGTTGTTTAATTATTACCTTTTCTCTAACTGCTCATAGTTCTCTACTTGAACTTTATTTCTTTTTTTTGCTCTTGGGTCTGCCTTCTAAGACTGTTCCTTCATAATTTCTACATCTTTACATTTTTACTCTGTGCTTTCCTGTACTTAACTGCACTTAATTTTAATCTTACAGTGACCAGTAGTTTCTTCAATTAATCTAGTCCGTTGCTAGCTTTGGAAATCGTGTTTTATCTTCATGAAGTCTAGTTTTTATTATGCTTTAATCTCATTAAGGGTTTTCATTACTTTTCTAAGTTTAGTTGTTGCCTTTTCTCTTACAGTTGAATCTCACTGCTTAACAGGTGTTCTTGTTGCAGCTGTGAGACTCTCGCTGTGGGTTTGGTTTCCAACATTAGCTTTCTTAAAGCCTGGTCTGATATTGAAGAGAAGCTTGTATTTCATGATCAGTGGTGTGGAAGCAGCCAGGCTACCAGTCCACCTCAGAGGACCCTGGGCCCAGTCCCCTCACTCCCCACTTCTAGTGCTCCACCCACCCACTGTAACTGCAGAGGACCCTGGGCCTAGTCCCCTCACTCCCCACACCTGGTGCCCCACCCACCCGCTGTAACTGCAGAGGAATGTGGGCACAGACCCCCTCACTTCCCACACCTGGTGCCCCACCCACCCACTGTCACTGAAGAGGACCCTGGGCCTAGTCCCCTCACTCCCCACACCTGGTGCCCCACCCGCCCGCTGTAACTGCAGAGGAACGTGGGCGTAGACCCCTCACTCCCCACATCTGGTACCCCACGCGCCCACTGTCACTGCTTGGCCTCTTGGGTGCCAGTGAGGCGGCACAGACTTGTTGGACTGGTGCTCACTAACCTCCTCACTCTGTCTACTCCCACCTCCGGCAGGAACTCCCAGTACACATGGGCTGGACGTTCTGTAAATGACCTGTAGTCCACACATGGGATTCATCCTGATTCGCCGGAAGAGCTGTACTAAAAATGGTCTTCATTACTGTACATAAATAAAATAAAGATGTGTTTTTTGTAGGAAAATTGATATGTACTTTAAAATATGCTGAAGTACTTTTAAATTTACATTATTACCTTTTCCTTCACCCTCAAATGGACACCTTATAATTACTCTTTATTATGTGTTTTTAGGTTAGCATGGCCTCCTTGAAAGAATTAGACCAAAGACTGTTTGAGAATTACATTGAGTTGAAGGCAGATCCCATCGTTGGCTCCTTGGAACCTGGGATTTATGCAGGCTATTTCGATTGGAAAGACTGCCTGCCTCCAACAGGTAAGTGGTCTCAGTTATTCAGGTTCTCTAAAAATAGTCTAATACAGCTAGAGTAATAAATATGGATATGCTTCTTATCGATTAACATATGCTTAAAATGCTTTTTATTCACACTTCTTACATTTACTAAGAGATTTTAGTTCGTAACTTTTTATTAGCTTAAGCCTATTTCTTGATAGTCTGGAATTTAGTACACTTTTTAATTATTAATACTTAATGACTTAGTTACTTTTGAACTCCAGAGAATAATTAATTATATCTTACAATACGTGATCATTTTTAGTAATGCATACTTAACTTCCTGAGATATTATCCCTTTATTGCATAGGTATAACAAACTTCGACAGTTTATGCAACGACTTTGTGACTATCATCAAAAAATTTAGTTAAGAAATCTGGGCACGTCTACATAAGACCTAATTATTGATGCTGATAGGTGAAGGGTAGAAGGAAAAAGTGTAGGAGTAAGATTATCATAGTAATTTAGCAAAGAAAATTGACCTTCAGGAGAATGACTGACACAGTTCCGGTCTGGTCTTTGTGATGTCAAACGGAAGTCTGTTACGTTGCTTTTCCGTATATTACTTTATCATATGTGTAACTATTGTGCCCTTGCTGGTGTCGCTCAGTTGGCTGGAGCATCTCCCTGCACCAAAAGGTGGCGTGTTCGACTCCTGGTCAGGGAGCATGCGGGAGGCAACTGATGTTTCTCTCGTTCTCTCTCTCCCTTTCTCTCCCTTTCTCTCCCTCCCTCTCCTTCCCTCCCTCTCTATAAAATCAGTTAAAAAAGCACATCCTCGGTGAGGGGGGAACAAACTATTGATTGTTAAGTCAGAGAAACTCTTTGATTAATAAAATACGGTTTCCTTGTATTTAGTAGTGTGCAGCACATAAAACCAAGCTACCTATCACATTTTCTAAAAATTGGTTTTAGAGGGAGGGAGAGAGTCATATGAAGCCTTTTACCTACAGCTGGTCATAATAGATCTTTTTCTCTGAACTCCATTACCTTTCTCTATACGACTCTGCTGTTACCAAACTGGGTTATAGTTTGTGTCCCAAATATATCCTTTTAAAGTTTAAATCAGATCCTGTCAGTTTCATGCTGAAAATGCTTGCAGCATATTCCCGTTGCACTCACAGTGCAATCTGCAGAGCAGCTCCGTGCCTCGTGCACCTCCACCGCCCACCGCTGCAGCCACGCTCCGACACGGGGCCTTTTGGTTGCCTCTGCAAGACTGCTTTTCCTTTGCTTAGACAGCAGTTCTCCCATATCTTTAGACTCCCTTTTGTCACTCAGGTCTCACTGGATCAGCCATCCGACCTGAAGAAATGCCATGGCCAGTGGAGAACAGTCATGGTACTTTAGGCTACCTGTGAAAATCACTCCTATTTCATTTGTAAAAGAGGATTTCCAGGGAGAATGTTATAATGTAGTTCTAGCAGGAGCCTTTATTCTGAGTGAGCTTATAAAGCTAAATCCCTAAGTCATAGTTTGTGAGTTCATTACCACAAGATTGTTGATAAAACTGACCTGTGGTCAGCATGGCCTCTGACTAAGTGAACAAATCTTTCAACAACAAATGCTCCTTCTCTGGCATCTCACGATCTTCAGTCAGTCTCTGGGACTTTTGATCTGCAGTCTCTTCAAAAGTCTTGGGCCCAGATGACTTGAAATTTCAATATTTTTGGATTTTAGAAATATAATATAGTGTATGTACCATATATATTATGTTACATACCCAACAGGGATTCCAGCAGAGACACATGAAGTGATAATAACATTCTATTCAGTTCAAGTGAGAAATGCCACCGCGAGAGCTCACAACTTTGCAGATTGACAGACAAAATCTTCTGTCCTCAACTCTGTATGTCCAGTATCCAGACTGCTGCTTGGTTCCTAGTGCCTAATCAGTAAATATTCGTTTCCTAACTGCATGGGTGACCCCTGGGAGCTCACAGGTGCCTTTGCCAGTGGCCTCACTGCCTGGTCACCATCACCCCTGGCTGACCTGCTGTGTTTTGGGCCACCTCTGCGTGCTTTCTCCAAGAAGTCCTCCTCCTTCCCACCAGCAGGGTGGTTCTCCTGTTCCTGTTATACCTTTTAACCTCTCTTCTCTTTAGTAGTGTACATTATACATGTATATTTATTTTGTATCTTTTTGTTACCTTGTATTAGGGGAATTTTTAAATAAAGATCTGAGGAGCTTCCTTTCACATTCCCAGACTTCATATTATTTAAGTATTTTTATAGAGTAGTAACTGAAAGATGTAGGTTCCAAAGGACAGATATCAGAAGGATTTTTTAATAAAATGGTTTTATTTTTTACTCAAAGTAACAATGTGCAATACTGAGATATTACTGGGTTCTTAGCCTGCTGGTGGTAAACTGTTTCCAGGTTTCTTTCAAATTTGTCCGGCAGCTCTTAGCAGAGCTGAATGTCACCCCAGTCCTAGGAGGACCAGACAGAAGAGCCTGAACGCTGCCAACCAGCCTGGTTACTGCTTCTCACCCTTGGGCAGCCTACCTCCGCCTTATCTTGCTTTCTCTTGACTATTTTTATTTTATTAGTATGCAGTCTTGCTAAATGTGCAGGTCATCCTCAGTTGTTATCTGCCAAGTGTTTGCTGTATGGTTTTGCAGTTATTTTTCTCAAATTTTTTCCAGTGGGAAAATAAATTATATGATGTTATAGTTTCCATGATCATTGTTCACTTTTTAATAAATAGTACACAGTGAACATTCATATTGAATTGAATTAAAATGAGCATATCAACACTCATTTTCTTATGTCCTGTGAATTCTTATATGGTAGTTTTTGTGCACTCCCTAAATTTTGAGCAATTGCAGCTGAATTAAAATATAAGTATCATATCTACCCAACACATAAAAGCAGTTCTATGGGGCATTGCTGAATGTAACATATTATTCAGGGATAGTTTAAGTTTACTAAAATTAATATTCAGTTATTAGCATGTATTGAACATAATTATTAGCACTGACATTATTCTTAAATTATCTGGTGGATATGTTCAAGGTCATCAAATTACTTGTGATGTTTCTGTGAGAATAGGAAAAATTATGACACAGCTACTGCAAGTTTCTTGTGTGTTTAATGATTGCTACAACAAATAGGACTTGGTCACTAAGCATCAATCTCTATGAACTTGCTCACATCTGTCTCCATTTAAAGTCTAAATGTTACTGAGAAACAATTTACTTGTGAGTGATGCAGAGGACTCTCTTCGCCACCCCCAC